AAGAGTGGAAATAATATATGACGCTTTGCTGTAAATTTCATTAACACTGAATTGCCCTATTCTTTTGTGAGAAATTGTCTGCTGGGTGCCATGCATTTTATGGCCAATTGTGTCGAGTGCATTATGGGAAAATTTATACAGCTCTGCGGATAGGATATTCCTTTGAAGGATATTCAAGAGATTTATCCCAAGGGCACTACAATTTCATCAGCATGCCCCAATGAAAGATGGTCGATAATAGTTTAACCTTATACTTTCAATTATAAAATGTCATCAATCACTCGCCACAGGCAAGGTAATTGTTGTAAATGGCTGTTGTAATAGTGCAATAGCACAGCTTAAACTTAAACCGTGGAGAAACGTTACAAGAAAAATCATTTTGGAAAAAATGAAAATCTAAATTAAGCCAAAATAAACGTACAATATATTACCAGAACGCTGTACCTTTAACCTTTATTCGTTTTCACGTCGCAGGCTATTATAAAACATTATAATGTTTGAACTTATGCAAATTCAACTTTCACATTTCGACGGCAGCTTAAAAATGCAGCTAGACCCCGCAAATCACCATGATGGCAAACAGGAGGCACGAATGTGGCCCATGAAACCGCAGCCAAGTAGCCAACCACATAGCAAATCGACTCTTGCCTCGTTGCAACACTAGTGAGTGAATATATCTCGGGTTAATTAATGTGAATGCCGAAATCCTCCTGCTGGCGAATTTTTGGCACGACGCCCGCCGAGTTGTTCACCTGGTGTTCACCTGGTGCTCACCTGTCTCAGGCACTCGACGGTCGCCTTGTCTGCAGGTAATTAAAGGCGTGCGAGGCGCCCCTTGGCGAGAATTTGCATATGCCACAATGCCGTGAGAAATGGCAACTGTCCTCGTGGCGAGTCATGTTATTTGATTGTTGACAGGCATTGAGGCGACCGAATATGTGAGTGTGTCGTCTGCGTGTCCCCAGTTTGCCAGTTGCTGTTTGCTTCAAGCTGGCTGGCAAATTTACCCTGACCAACCACTAACCGGTGTTAATTGAGCATAAGTTATTGAGCTGTTTCGATGCAGGAGAAGGCTTGATTTGTGGCAACGTAGGCTATTATTATTTAAGCAAAAAAACCAATAATTAAGATATAGTGGAATGTTGTGTACGGAAAATTAAGTTTTAGACTCGCTGTCATTTAGAGCGCTTTCGTTGTCAGAAATAATCGACTTTGTGAGTTCCACAGATATTCCTAAGGTTTGAAATCAGTTCATAGGATGCCTCTTATATTTTATAATATACATATCATAGCAAGTTAAATATTGCACAATTGGTGTGGCAGCTAAGCGAAAGCAAATCGATGCATTTATATCATAAAGCTCAACTCTTCATAAAGCCATTTGCCAATTTTCGTAAAGCAAATAAATACCCCTTTGGGACCATAAAGCGGCCCCAGCAATTTTGAAACTGTGCGCAGTGTGCAGAATAATTTGTGTCTTTTTAAATGATTTTTATTGTCGATGGCAGTGGCTACAATCAACAACAACGCTGTCCAAACTTCGAAGATAAATGTTGGCGAGTGTGGATAAGCAAACGGAGCAAAAAAGCATCGAGCCAAAATCGAAAATTAATTTAAATGCGGCTTTGTAATAAACGAGAAGAGTTTCTTGCTTCTCGTGCGGCTCCATGTGTGTATTTGTTTGATGTGAATGAATTATGCAACAATAATTCAATGAAGCCGCCACAAAATGTGCAATAAATAACCAACTGTCGTTGCTTTGGTCGCATCCATTTGAATACCCATTACTCGTAGAGTAAGATGTATCCAGGAGATATCAGATATCCAGCAGGTTCAAATTTCTTTTAGACCATTGCCAATTGCCAATACTGACCTGTTAAAAAGTTATTTAATCTAAAAGTTATGGGAAAGTGATATAACCAAACAAACTACTTCCAAATCCTGCCGTCTAGCTGACGGGTATCCAATAGTCGAATACCGATCTCTCTTTTTCGTTTTGTGCCCGGGCATGATTACCACTTTATTTGCGAGATGGCTTTTGGGTAAGTCGGATGGAGTGGCGAGTGCGGCTGTGCACTGGCAATATGTCAGTTACAATTACGAGAACTGGCCAAGACCGACGTGCCTGACAAACAATTACCAGCAACCGCCGAGAATTGCGAAAAATGGGCCATCAGGATGTCCCTGCACCGATATAAAGTGGGCAAGTGAGCATCAAGGATGGCGCCGGATCTGGGCGACAGTTTGAGTAATTATTGAGGCTGCATTCTGAGGCAGCAACAGTCCCCAGTGTCGCACTTCTTTTTTTGGCAGACATCTCGTATAATTGGAAATTAAATTACGAGCACGACGAACGACTTGTTCGTAAATCAAGGCATTTTGTCCGTTTGAGCGTAAGCGATTTGATTCATCAAACTGAAATAATCACCATCGAACGGCCTCGAATTCCCGATTGCAGCATACTGCTGTTTCGAAAGCCGTCTAATAGTCCGTCCTTGACGTGGATTTCAATTAATATGAACGTTATCTAAGCTGGATGGATAGTTAAGCAATCTAAGCTGGAATAGCTTTGAATATCTGAAACGGATGCCAAAGGTTTTCGTTAGGAAATACTACTTAAATCCTTGACAGTTTCAAAATCACCTAAAAAGATGTGTCTAAAATATAGATAGATAGATAGATATAGATAGATAGATAGGTGGTGGTCTGAAGACCATATTCTTTTTTCTGATTGCCTTTACAAGAAGCTCTCACGGCTAACTGCTAATGCAGTTATTAATCTCAATGTCACCATTTTGTTTATTCATAAATTCTAGACACTCTACCCCCGCGAAAATCGCAGCGAACGTGGCACGTTTATTTTCACCTTTATTACAAGTCTCTTGCCCATTTTCATTTTACACTTTTCCCGGGCGGAAAGTGGAAAGCGGCGGCGCGGGCGGTGGGACAAATGGCGATGATGATATTTTTTCGCATTTCTGGCGTCCGCCATTTTGCCGCGTACTTTTTTCCCTATTTTCCAGCTAATTTACTAGCTGTTGTTTTTGTGCACGTTGCATACATGCATACCCATACACACATACATACACAGCGGAAACGCATACACAGACCCAAAGGAAAATCCATGTCTCTCTCAGCGATTCGAGTGGCAGAAAAGCAGACTAGAAATGACGCTGGCGTGGTTCCCTGGGAATATAATAAATTTCAGCGGCCGCCAGTCGCGTTTGCTGTTTACTTTCCTCGCTTTTTGCACTTTCTCTTTGGCACTTTTATTTTCTTACACCCAGTTCTTGGCAAAACGCGGACTACCCAGACTTATTGTGGATGTGCACTGGCACTGAATCCCCAGATGCACGATCATCGCATGGAACTGCCTCTCATGTCAATGTGAATCATGCTAAATTATATGGGTGTACTTGTGTTTTAAACATGTCTAAGGAGTCATTATATTTTTTGTTGTTATGACTATGACATTTTCGCAGCTATCTGCTACCCAGAATAGTGAAGAATCGTTAAGTGAAAGTAACCATTTAAGCATTTATCTTTTATTTCAAAGTTCGCTTGATACGCGCCTTTAAAATATATATCATATTTAAAAAGGTCCTGCCAGCGAGTTTTCGAATGGGTTCCCACTTTACTTGGATTAAACTGAGTTGTAAAGCTTTCCATCAGCTAATGAGTATACTTGTGTCGAATCAGTGGAATCTATTTGTTTTGTTGAAATGGTTTTCAGCGCTTCCGCCTTCAAAACGGGTCTTCCAGAGATTTTCTTTTGTGCGCGCGTTTTGTTTAATTTGCGCAAGCTTAGTGCTTTATTCCCCATAAAAAAGTACCCATGTATAATGTACAAATGGTTGATTCGCTGCCTATGCAACTCAAATAATAGCGCAGTGCTAAGTTTTTTAATTTACCACCCATCCACTCATCCAGGGCGCATTAAGTGAGTCGTGATCCTGGAACTTTAAGGACGACACTTAAAGTCGCGTTGGCGGCCACCCTGCACTTTTATGGCACACATTCAGTGTTGCCATTAGCCTTTTACACAACATTTGGCAAGTGGCGCCACACGGAGGAGGTGACCTGGCTGGGAAGCTGGGCAAAGTGGGCGAGGTGGGTGGTCCGAGCCTGCCAAGCTCTTTTTTAAGTCGGGCAGGGTGCATTATCAGGCCGATACAAAGGCACATTATGCACTTCCGATTCTGGGATTGTTGTTATGCATGCACTTGCAGTCGTCGTTTTCAGCGTTTTCCTTGTCGATGCCGCCGTTATGGCATCGCCTCAAAAACGAGGCTAGTCGAGAGGAAAGCTGCACGGACACATGGAGCGGCTTGACTCCTGCCAAAAGCTACTTGTCCTTATTTTAAATGCCATACATGTGCAAAACAGTGTGGGTGTGGGTTGCCAGAGCTGTTTGCACAGCCTCGATTGAATATTTCGAAGTTCGTAGTGTACACTCTCTTTGTGATAACTTCCTTGGAAATGAATCATGCTGATAATGTGTAATGTGTGCTGATAAAATCCGTGTGGACACCTCAGATGCTTTCCATATAGCTGATATATACTCGCATTTAAATTGGTATCACATAAATTATTTGTTTTCCGCTCATCATTTAATAACTTAATATGTGCAGAACTGCGCAGCTCGTTTTAAAAGTAAAAGGTATATAATAATAGTGCTTGATTTAAACAACCACTTAATACACGCTGTTGAAATAATGCTTCCACATAAAGTATACAAATAACAAAGTAGCCCCTCGAGAAATTTGCTCTGTACCCAACCATCATACAAAACCATTCAGCTTTTTAAGGATAATGGTATTCCCAACTTGGAAATATATAGCTAAAGGACAAGATACGTATGTTAGGGCGACACTCATACAAGGATAACAGGAATATTCAGCATGCACAAGACACATAAGCTAGCGTACACCAAAATCGGGGAATGGGGATCATAGACGTGTCAACGGGATGAGGGCTGGCCAGGATCGGCCCGGAATTACCTCGAGATGCTCGCACACGCAGATGCCCTCCTCGCAGTAGGCGCATATCTGCATCTTGCGCCCATTGACCCCCAATCCTTTGAAGATCAACTGCGGTTCATCGGCGAGCAGTGGCTCGTACTGGGTCTGCTGGACTCCGGTGCTGAACTGCAGCTCCCTGAGCTGCCGCTTGAGGCCGCCGCCTGCACCACCAGCAGCACCACTGGCACCGCCAGTGTCCTGCTCGAAGGCGTCGCTCCTGCGCATCCTGTACACGCTGCACTTGCGCTCCAGCTGACCCGGCGCCGGCGGATGCATCGGCTCATCCTCGTCGTCCAGTGCCTCGCCGGCGGTCAGCGGCTGTCGCTCGGCGGAGGACTCGAAGAGGAGCTCCTCGGGCCCGGGACGCCGCAGCTTGGCCACGTGGCCTGGCGAGGCCATGGGCGTGGCCGGCGTTACAATGATGGCATCATGGTGGGGAACAAACATGGCGCCGGCGCCAGCTAACTCTGCCTCCGCCTCGGCCGCCATTGCGGCTGCAGCGGCAGCGGATGTGCTGGCCAGCGGCGGAGACGTGGGCGTGGCTGTCTCCAACGAGGTCACTGTCGTTTTAACGCCGGCCACCGCCGATGGCGACACCGCCATCGCCTCCGCTTCCATGTGGGAGACCAGCGGCAGCGTGGCCGTCGCGGACTTGTGCAGCTGTCCGGCGGAGATGACCGGATGGAAGCCGGCGCTGCTGCTGCTGCCGGAGTGCCGGTGCACCAGCTTCGGTGAGACGCGTCCGTGGGATGAGGCGAACTGCTGGTAGGGCGTCTGCCCATGATGACTCAGCAGAGCGGGTGCGGTCTGAGGCGTGTGGGCGTGGGCGTGGGCGGGTCCATGGGAATGGGAGTGGGCGTGCGCGTAGGCGTGGCCATGGGAATGAGCGTGGGTGTGCATGCGCAGCTGCGACACCGACTGGGTGTCACCCTCCTCGATTGGCAGTAGGAGCTTCGATTGCGTCGTATAGGTGGCGCTGAGTTTCCGTCCATGCGGCTGCGGGGCACGCAGATAGTTCTGGGGCAGCTGGTGGAACTGGCGCGACTGGCTGCGAGTGGGCGTGGATGCGCCCTCGGCGGCATGATCGGATGCCAATCCGGCCGCCTTCGGTGGATGCAGTTTCGCCTGGAGCTGCTGAGTCTTCTTCTGCTGGCGTTGGCGCTGCCGCGCCTGGCGGGAGGCCAGCGAGGCGCCACCAGCAGCTGCATACATCTTGCTCGAGGAGAGGGACTTCGCGCTTGGATGCGGTTACGGATTTAGGTTTGGGTTCGGGTTCGGGTTTGGGGAGGTTTGGGTTTCACCTCTAGTTACAAACTAAGTACAGGGATTACATTCGGTTTTGGAGTGGTTTTGTCGACAGACCTAAGCTCAAGTTTAGTCTAAATAATTAATATTCAATATCTTTAATATCTTCCTTTCAATTGTTTTGCATTAACGTGTTCTCTTCAGTTTGAAAACTATACTGCTGTTATATTATTTTTAGCGGCCTTCCTGAAATCCCCTAGCAATCTTATAAAGCGAGTGTGTAAAACGAATTTTAAAAAATTGTTAGCAAAAAGTGTTTCGATTTCGTTTGTCCCTGTAAAAACGACTGTTCAACCTTATCGCTTTGTATTTCTATTTCAGAATTATCCTTGCCCAATATATCTGGTGTGCTGTGGTGTTGTCCCGTTGGACATAAATGATTGTACTTTGGATTACTTGCTTAAGCTTGAACCGAATGTCTGTATGCCAGGCCTAAAATAACTTGTCGTGAAACCATCGAAAGTAAATGTATGTGAACTCCGAAATGAAAATGTTACAAATGTTTAACTTAGGCTAGGGTTATCCGAAAGATATATGTTTTGTGCATACTCGCAGTGTTCAACTTTGTCGTCTCTTGTTTGTATATAAAAAATATGTTTCAAAAAGTTTGTTCTTTGGTTTTCGGTGTCTATTAAAATATGTTTTACAAATATTTCAATCTCTGCTTATAAACATTTAAAAAATATTCTATCTGCACAATCAAATTGCATACTTTTGGGCGTATTGTCTGGGTGTATCCATCGACATGTTTTAGTTGGAGCTGTGCTTGAATTCCTTGTGGGATTATGACAATTTAAACAAAGTATTTGGATTATATATATGTTTTGCCTAAGTTGCGTTGTGTTCTATAAAATTTTCAATGCATATTTTGCCTTTCGCCTAGCTAATGTCCGTTTGGGGTATCAAAAAGCATTTAAATTCTAAACTCACACATATACATTTATCATATTATTTTGTTTGAATTTCTTTTGATCTTCTTATGATTTCCTGCAGCTCTTGATTTCTTTGTTCTTTGCTTGGATGTGAATTCTCTGTGGTAAATACTCCCTCGTTTATTATCTCTTAATTTTTATACATGCACATCTGCTGCTAAAATACACCCATAGAATAAATCAGCTAATCATTTCAACAATGCTACATTTTCCCACTTTTCTTCTCGCTTTTACTCGCTCATTGCACAGCATTATCTTAACTTAGGTTCAGAGACGGATTTACTGCAAGGAACATGTGAATAACATATTATGCATAGCCGCACTTATGACTAATCCATATGAATATACACAAATGTTACAACTTTAATGCTAAGCTGCAAAATGTATCCAGTGTAGAGAGAAATATTAATTAATGACTTTTAAAAATAATGAGTGAAACATCTGCGTTGCAAAGTTCTCAATGGCATTACCTCCAAACATAAACGAAAATGCAGTTAAATAGAGTAAAGTGGCTTTCACCCATGTAAACAGTTTTATCAGAAGAAATTTTGCAGTATTTTGCTTGCCCCCCAAACTTTCAACTTGCAATCTCTTTTCGACCATTTTATTCCACTTCATTAAAAGGTTCGTGCAATGAAAGTTCAGGTTTTTTGGGCTGATATCAGACAACCCAAAATGCCAGTTACATTTTGTGGAGGGGTATAATATAGAAAAATACGAGTCTTTGAATTTTATAGCGTCGGAATAAACACATGCATCACTGCCAACCGAAATTTCTGGTAAATGTTACTTTAAATATTTTTGGGCAATTATAAATTACCGGAATTTCCTTCTCTCATATTTTACAAATATTTTGCCATCCCTTTACCGTCTGCATGCCATATTGGCGTAAACATGCAAATTAAAAATGGGGAACAACACACAAAAATGCAAAATAAGCGGGGCAGGCCATCGCCCGCTTATTGCTACAAGTTTATTTTTCCAAAGGACATTTAACCTTAAGCCTTGGAGAAAAGGGATATGGGGGTTAGTAAAAATTCCACTTCAGGGTTGCGAGCACGTCCTTTCCCCACTTTCCCCTGATTTCATTTCCGCTGCCATTTGAAGACTTTTCACTTGCCAGCTTTTTTAATACACAGCACCATGGGCAACTAATTTCCTCGTGACCTGCGTAGTTTTCGTGCTGGCCAACTTCATTTGGTGGCGACAATGTTTTAGGCCCTCAAAACACTTTGTTGGGCGTGTGTATGTGTTTATATAACAATTTGTACGGCTTTTGGCTCAGTTCGGCACGCACTCAGTGCTAATTAAAAGCCAGCCGCGGCAACGCCCCAAAAATAACGTAAAATGGCAAGAAATAGCAAAAACTATAAGGCACATAGGAACCAACCATGCTAGCTGGCAGGTATATAGCGAATATATCGCGGCTATATTTACAGTGTAGTTGAAAGTTGGCCCAAATGTGCTGACGCTGACGTGTTGCTTGGCTCTGCATTTTATTTTATTTTTGGCACAAACAAAATGGCAAGCAACGAGATACAACGATTTGAAACAAATAGGGCACCAGATAGCAAACGAGCTTGTTTAAAACTACCTTTGAAAATATCTCTTCTAAAATTTAGCATACAAGTATAATATCATTTACTGCTCTCAAGCACATGATAATTAACGAGAAATAATAGAAGTATTATATTAAATACGTATAAAAAATGTCCCTTTGCACTTCATTATATCTAAAAGGTTAAATTGAAGGCTTTTATAAAAAAATATAGAAAAAAATATATTTTAGTAGTGTAAAGAGCTTTCAAACCTGCAGAACCCAAAGCCAATTACACATTTTTTCTTGGCTAATTAACAAAATTTACCCTGCCAGCATTTTAATTGCCAACCTATTTACATATTGACCATTTGTAACCAAAAAGGTCAACACACGCCTATTGTATGCATGTATGTTGGTTGGCTAGCAAACTGGGCCAGAACTTTGCGGGCCAGGAAATATGAATTTAGATGATACCAATTAACGCTGCAGTATGAAAGCCACACTGAAAATCGATAGCATTGCAAAATAATAACAGTTCCATGTCGTAGGCGTTCCATCAGGAGATCAAGACCAAAAAAGCTGCTGAATTATCCAAGTACGCTAATTACAGTCTAATGGCATTCAGCCGTTTGCCCATTATGCTTATAGGAGCGAAATTGTTTTGCGGTCACAAAATCGCATATAGAAAGCAACAACGCCCACTGGATGACTCAACATGTGCTCGGTTACGCAAATAGGGGGATCCGACTGCCCCACAGGAGACATTGCATCAAAGAGCTGCCGTTCAGTGTCAGACAACGTGGCGTATACGTCATATCGCAATTCGGTGGCCCAGCAGCCAAAAGGTAGAAAATGAAGGCAGAAATGAGCCGGAGCGAAGCACTGCGCTTTATTTATTCATCCTGCATGCATGTGTAAAGAGCCGCTCAGAAATCCCACAGCAGCTGTTTTACTGGTAACCATATGCGAAGTATTTCATACCCTTTCAATTAAAATTAAGAGCGGTTTCCTATTTAAATTACTCTCGAATTGTGAGTAGTTGTAAATAGTTGGAGTAGTTAAAATTTATAAAAGGCAGGTTCCAATATTCCGCTTATTGAAACATCGCATAGCTCAGTTCAAAAGTGATGTTCATTATTTTAAAAGCAAAATGCTTACCATTCGTTCTTGGGACCATATAAGTTTGTGATACACGAACAGATGAGGAAAGACTGTACAGTGAAGTGAGGACCAAACGCACACAGCACCTCGGGAAGCGAAGGGACCATCATGCCAAAGGATTCCATCAGACCACACTCAGTTGCACAGGGACACACAGAAATGGCAGATGGGCCACTGGAAGTTGTCTACGCAGCAGTGGCACGGATTCCCTGGCAAAGGATGCTGGGATGGATGGAAACAGGGATGCTGAACAGGGGGGATGGCCAAAAGGGAAAGGGGTGGGGCGACAGACTTTCACCACCGCCGACAAAGTTGGCTTTTGTGTGTGACGCTGCGGAGCGATCGAGCGGAACCGAGATTAAAATTAAAATTTAAATTTATTTTAAGCTGACTTCTGTGGCATGGTCAATGGGCTTGGATTGTTTCGCGTTTATGGCTGCTTTGCCACGCCCCGTTTTCGTTTATTTTTGGTCAGTGCCACCGTGTTTGCGCAGGATAATTACTGATTTTATTGCTAATTAAACGTACTCGAGCTGAATAAGTTGGTGTGTATTCAGCCGGCCTAGGAAAACATGGAAAACATTTCGAGCAGTTGGCTTAAAGCGTATTTATCGCCAATGTGTATCTAAAACTACAGTATCAGAGCGAGCCCATCAAATGAGTAGACAATTAAAACCGCTTTTGAATACAGATACATTCACCCACCAATGATTCTGCCCATTAAATGCAAGGCAATACTGATCAATAATAATGCCATTTATTCCATAACTTGATACTTTATATGAGTACTGACATCTAGTGTCGCTTATGGGTGATTGCATCGTTTTAATAACACACTTAGCGCCATCCACGCATGAAAGCATGTTCGCTGTTAGGAAAGTAGCTCAATAAGGCAAAGGTTCGTACTAATTCAACGCCATTGCCAGTCAAATTTGTCAATAAAATAATTTTGTACAAATGCGGACGATTTGCATAGGCACGAACACATGGAGAGGGATGCGGATATGTCGGATGCCAGTAGGAGCGGAACTATTATTGATTATCGCTGGAGCAAATGTCAATAAGCGTTTATTTTCGTTCGGAATTTTTCTATTTTTTATTTTTCTATTTTCTCGATTTCAATTTCAATATAATGCACAGGGTTCCACCGCGTTGGCTGTGCGGGAATAACTTTTTCATTTGATAGCCCCTCCTTTCACATCACCTATTTTGGGCATGAAGCCTTCACTTGCCTTTTTATATAAGTGGGACAAATACTTTTTCCCTATCCATACGATTTTATTCAATTTTTTCTAGGAAGAAGTGAGCAAACCCATTCACATTTTTCTCCTTCCGCCGCTTAGCTGGCTGTCTAGTTTCTGCTTCCTTGACACTTTCAGTTGAGCATTCATAACTTTCGATTTTGCTCCTTCTGCTGAGATTTTTAATTAAAGTGTTAGGCGAACTAACTGACACCAGGCTCGTGTGCTTGACTCCCTGACTGACTGACGTGCAGGGGTCGCCGCCTTGGCAACAGACACTTGCCCAAAATGCCTGAAAACCCATTGGAGAACTGCATGTCAGACTAAGTTCAGGGAGTTCTCTGACACTCGCAATGGGTTTCTTGTCAGTTTATAACGATGGCTGAACTTGAACTGCTCGATGGTCGAGGGAGAGATAAGACTCATAATGGATATGCTCGAGCATTAAAGGCTGTGCACATTTTAGACCAGATTTTGCTACAACCATACAACTAAACAATTTTTCTGCATAAAATGCGTAATCCGCTAGATGTTGGCAGTGGTGCAACTAACCCGGCGTATACGTAATATGGCCATACGGCATAATTTCCGCTTAATTGCACCCATAAAAGCCGGACGAAGGGCAATGTTGCGTAGAATGAGCCCCAGATTAAGACAAAGTACCCCAGTACTCCACCAATGCGCCACAGGCAACAGGACTGGCCATTTCCACCTCTCTGGCCCA